CGCGCGTGTTGCACGTTTTCGCATCTCAGAAGTCGAGGAGCCGCCTGCCATGGGCTGGACGAGACCGACGCGGCTCCCCCGGCACCACTCGGGAGTCTAGCGTTCGCCGCAGAAAGCACCCACTGTCTCCATTCAGAGCTGAGCACAGCTGTACCTTGGACTAGTCATAAAAAACGCTGCTCCTCACGCAGCCTGAGGTCCTGCTCTGCCGGCTGACGCCATCCGCTGGGCCAGGGCCGAGAGACCGTCCGGGGGCCCGCGGGGCGTCTCCGTCCACATCTGGGCACAGAGCCAAACCGGTGGGAAAGTACAGGCCCCGAGCCTGGATTTTCAAAGCTGGAGAAACAAAAGACTAAACAGTGGGGTCCCCCGTTAAATCCACCTTCTCGTTACAGAAATAAAACCGCTCGTCGGGCATCGACGATCTTCCCCGCCACCGTTCCCGAGCCCACCGATTGTCCCCGAGCAGCCGATGGAACACCAGTCCTGAACGACTGTCTTCTCAAAGGCTTCGGCAATGACCAAAAGGCGCTTAGAAATAGTTGCATTGAGGAAACATTAAAATATTAACCATGGTCAATTTACATGGCCAGGTCATGGGTCATGTCTCTTTCTCTCTCATTACAGCAGGCAGACTTTAATTCTATGGTGAAAATAAAATGAACATTTAAAGATATTTTTAATTTGAAGAGTCTACGTGAGGCTCACTCCTTCCCTACAGCGTTTCTAGAGAGCCAGAGCTGGCCCGCCTGGCCCTGTCCCCTGAGACCTCTCCTGTCCCAGGCCTTTGCTCGCTTCACTGTCCCCAGCTTTAATAAGCGTCCTCTCAAAATCAGAGAGAGAGAGAGAGAAATGGGTTCCATGTTTGGATGTTTACATCTTCCAAAGGTTAACACTCGGAAGAGTATTTTAAAAATCCACTTGGCCTCAACTACGGTGGGAAAGTACCTCATTAAAACTTTCTCTCTCCCCCCCAGTAATGTTGACGCAATCGGCCTTCTTGGCTCGGTTCATGGTCTGCAAGAGATATCGTCTCCTCTTGCAAGCCAGGAGGACAGAGTCAGAAACAAGTGGCCTTATCCAAGGGCACACAGTCCCAGTCAAAGTCACAGCTGAACTGCTACACAAACACGCAGCTGAAATCAATGCTCCACTTACTGATTTTAGAGACAGAGGAAGGGGGAGAGTGGCAAGGGGGTGGGGGAGCGGGAAACATGCATTTGTTGCTCCACTTTTTGATGCTTTCGCTGGTTGATTCCTGCATGTGCCCTGACGGGGGCTCGGACCCGCAACCCTGGCGCGTGGGGACGATGCTCTAACCCCCTGAGCTACCAGCCAGGGCACAAAGCCAGCGCTCCAGGCTTGCTGTCCGGCAGAAAAGCGGGGCTGTCTCCTAACCTCGAGCCGCATCACCAGCGCCATCGAAAGGTGGGACTTGGAAGGAACGGGGCCTTCCGTGCACCCACTTCTCAGATGGAAAAAGGGCCAGTAAGCAGGGTGGCGCTTGCCCGGGCGGGTCGCGGGTCGTGGGTGGCGGGGCGGCTGTGGAGCCAGAGCTGGAACCAGGCTGGCGAGCGAGCCGGTGCCCAGCGCGCCGTCCGCGCTCCGCGGACCCCAGGCGTCATTCTAGCCACGGACTCGGCCACAGGCGGCCCCCGCGCCCACCCCTTTACTGCCCGTCTCCAACTCCGGCTCTTACAGCGGGTGGGAGTCGGAGCCGCGGAGGCCTTCGAACAGGATCCCGCAGGGAAGAAAGTGGAGACGCGGGCGCCGCGCCGGCTCTTCCCCTCTTCCCGACGCGTGTCCTCAGCCCGCCCGTCCCCGCAGCGACCATTCACCCGTCCCTCCTGCCCGCGTCGCACGACGACCCTGAAAACGGCGCCCAAAGCCGGAGTGACGCCGCCGCCGGACAGCGGGGTCGCTCCGGGCAGCAGGGCGGTCACGCGGAGCGCGTCTGGGGCCACCGCCCCAGGCCAGGCGGCCGGCCCACGGGCCCACGCGGCCCAGCAGCACCTGGGCCACCAAGGCCGCCGCTCCGTCCTGCCCCGGGGAGGGGCCTGGCGCGGGCCGTGGGTGCGGCGCAGACCTGCACCCACGCGCGCCACAGCCACGCGCGGACGTGGACAGAGAGAGGCTCCGCCTGAGTAACGCACATGTGAACTTGAACATGGGGAAGACAAGCCTCGTTCTACCACATGTAGGAACTGCGCTCGACACACGTCCCCCACAACGGCGAGGTCTGCGCCCGCGGAGCGCGTTCTCGGCGTCCCTGTCCCCTGGTGCCCGCACTGCGCCCGGGAGAGGACGCGGCCGCCCCCTGCCGCCGCCCGCCCCGTCCACGCCCCGCCTCGCCAGCTCCGCTCGGGGGTCCCAGCGCCGACCTGGTCCCACGGCCAGACCGCCCGGGCGGGACAACGTGGCCACGACAGCGGAGGCCCTCGAAGGACTCAGGCCGTGCGCCCTAAACGCGGCCGCCCAGGCCGCTGTGGACACCAGCGGGTCACCGGTCGCTGGACTAGGCGGGGATGGAGATGCCAGTGTGCCGCGTCCCTGAGCGTGTGCACGTGCTAGGCCCCCCGAAAGCGCGAGCCGCCCCAGCAACCCAGCGACCCTCAGGGGCCGGGCCACGCGGAGGCCTCTTGCCACGTCGCTCCAGTGCCCTGGCGCCCGGCCACGGGGCCTGCCGTTTCCGCGCCGGCCCAGCCGTTCCTCCGCGGGCGGCACTCAGCCCTCGGCCTGTCTCCGAGCGCGATCTGCGCCCCGACCCTCCGAGGAGGCCGACCCGCTCCGGGCGGCTCGGTGGCTGCCGGGTTCGCGGACCAGCGGCCGGGCCGAGACCGCGGCGACCGGGGAGCAGGAGCGCGGCGGCGACGCGAGGCAGAAGCCGCCAGGGGGCGCCCGAGAGGCCCGGGCGCAGACGAGGCCGCACGTCCCTTGCGCTGGAAGCCCCGCTGGGGTGTGCGCTGGCCTGCGGTCCGGCCTCAGGGACCGGACGGGACGGACGGACGGCCGGGAGCAGGGCGGAGGTGGGAGGTCAGGGACAAACGGGCCTCAGCCCGGTGAAGGGCACATATTGACGTCAGGGCTCAGGCGCTGCGGCAGATCATTGGATTTGAGGAAAGGGACTTTCATCACCCGTCTACCTTAATTACTATTAAAATTGCGCCGCGCAGACTCAGACTCTTGCACTACATAATTGATTTTATTTTTTCCCCACAAAATACAAAGCTTTGCACCCTATTAGTGTTTTAGCACAAGAAAATCCCAGGGTGGTGGCTGGGCAGAAGGACGATTTACAAGATATTGACTTCATACACGTTCTTCATATGAATATTAAATTCCATTGCCACAATAAAGTAATGCTGACCTTGTATAACATGCAGATTATTGCTTTGCACTTGCATGTACTTTAAGATGGCACACGTACCAATACAAACATCGCCAAGTATCAAGGGAATTACCTAAAGACCTTTACGAATCCCACCACATGAAGCACAACCAGAAATCAAAATAAAGAATACCAAATTGCTGTTTAATTGCTAATAAATCTGAGGAACACTAACTTGTAAATTACCAAGGCTCACATTTTTGTCAAGAGAGCAAACATTCTTCAGCCTTCTGGAAATAAATTAGAAGGCGTGGTCACAAAAATGTTAAATTTATTTTGAAAGACTTCCAACATCTTTATGACAATTAAATATTAATGTTATGTAGTCTCAGAAGGAAAAGTGTATCTACCACTCTAGCTAATGCATTTACTGCAGTATTCAAGTAATTTTTTCAAATGAAATCTACACCTAAAATTATTACAAATTCGAATAATTACCCCCAAATTTCATAACTCATTCTAGTTATGTTAATAAGAGTATATGATCTGTGCAAAAATTCCTTTAGTAACACGTAGACATATCAAACTAGACGCCAACCAAGCAAGAAACAAAAATATGTAGCACGTTTTATTTGGTTATATTTTAGGCTCCATTACCCAAGACATAGCAAATAACTTAATGCACACTTAATTACAGAAGGAATTACATAAAGACATAAAAACATTCACGTACAGGTGACATTAACGAGTTTCCAGCCAGAGGTATTGTATTGGTATCTTTGAGATTTATAAATATTCCTGATTGGTTTTGGTCTTAAGTGCAGGGCCGGACGTCAACGCCGTCGGCCTCTGCAGCACGTCGGTGCGACCGCTTCCCGCGCGACCGCGGCGGCCGCCGCCCTTCTTCACCGCCGTCCCAATACGCCCCAGCACGGACGGCTCGCGGTCAGAGCCGGCAGCGGCGGGCTGAGGTCTGGGCCCGAGGGACCGGGGCTCAAACCCCTGGGTGTTTTGCCTTGGAAACCCCGAATCTGCTGGCCAACTTGTTTTTGGGAGAAGCATGACCGCAAGGAACGTGGATGAAGAGCAGGGCCCCCTCACACTGCCGCCCACGGGCCGGGCCTCCGCACGCCCTCCCTCCGCCGACCCTGAGCCCTGGGGTCCAGGGAGGACCGTGCAGGTAATGACACGCCTACTGCTGCTCCCCAGCTGAAACGCGCTGTGACGCTCTTGTGGCCAAACCAGTTTAAGAAAAAAGAGAAGCCACAGCGGAGTCTCGATGAAGCTGTAACATTATTAGCTTTGCTCCCTGTTGTAAACGAGCATTATTAAGTGCTAAATGGCTTCCTATAGCCTCTTAATAAATTAGGGTTTGTCTGATCGCTGTTTAAACTTCCTGCAATGCCCTCCCGCCCCCGTGAAAGAACAAGAGGCCAGGGAGCTTCCGGGGAGGGGGAGGCCTCAGAAGTTGACACAGAAAGGCGTCAGAGCCCGGCGGCCAGCAGGGAGGCGCTGGAACCGGGGACAGGGCACGGCCGGCGAGCCGCAGGGCACGGCACGGGCTCTCGGGGAAATCGGTCCCGGGCGCCCCAGCTCCTGGCCTGCTGGCTGGCTGGCCCGGCACCGCTCTCACACGTCACGTTTCCTGTCAGGACCCCCGTCGGCAGCTTCGCGTGTCTGTCGCCGGCCGGGGTGGTGAAGGCTGGGAAGGTCGGTGGGCCCCGGGCCCCCGGCTCTTGGAGGCCGGGGCGTCCCTGCCCTGCTGGCCGGGACCTGTCCGGGCACATGCGCCCCCGTCCTGATAAGCCACACGAGCGCCCCCACGGGATCCAAAACACATCAACGCGCGGCCTCCCGCGAAGTATAGCCCAGGACGTCCACAACCGCACGGCCTTTCCAGCGACTTCCCACAGACGTGGCCGCTTCCAGCCACGCAAATGGACGTTAACCTACTTGGGGTTGAGAGGAGCCCAGGAACGGACACTTGGGCGAGCATTTATCGTCACCGTGGCTTTTGGGACGTGTGTGTTTCCCTTAGAAATGGAACGACAAACGTGACTATTACAACACACCCTTCCCCGGTATGTCTCCACGAGAAGGCTGCTTCCGAACACACGGCGACGAACACCGGCCGACCCCCCCGCTGACGCGTCACCCCCGGGAGCGCGCATTCTCCGGGGCCAGCCTGTGAGAAAGCAACGTCGAACGGGAGCCGCGGACATCGCATTTCTACCTGCTGTGAGGTACCAAGACACACGGAAGGAGTTGTGTCTTTGCGCTGGTAGATGACTCCACTCCGAGTTTTCAATGTAAACAATACTTATTAAAAAAGATTTTAGACACAAGAATGCAAACTCTAGACACTTGGGCTCATAAATTTCTAAATTCCCCCGTACAAAATAAAGTATCTAACACAGACGCTATGGTGGTGCGTGCTATTTAGTTGATTTTCATTCATTTTCAACATTTTGTAAGAATTTTTATTTTCTACCCAACTACACATTCAAAGAGCATCTTTATAGTTACAGGGTGTGACTAATCTTTTTTCTCCAAAAATAGAGTTGCTAAAAAATGTATACCAATTTGCTTTTATTTTCTATAAATATTTTAACAGAGTTGTTAAAATCAGAATGCCAAATAGACTCATTGAAATGAACCCACAGTCAACATACTTCATATGCAAAAGGTTTTGTTGCTTAATACGTGAAAAATTCATTGTTTGGTAAGTGAGGTGCCCCGCTTTTAACAACTTGCATCCGAGGCAGCGGGTGCGCACGGTCACAGGGCAGCAGAACGCTGCTCCTGGGGAGCTCTGCCCCGCAACAGCACAGCAGCCGGGAGGCTGCCTTTCCCGCGCCAGGGCTGTGGTCTGGGGGAAACTCAGGAGCCGCGTTGGACGTGGGGTCTGGCCGCTGGATCGGCTCTTGCGAAGCCGGCCTGACTGCACTGGCTGACTAGGGGCCCGCACACGGGAGTGCGGGACACCCGTACCTTCACTGCCCTGGTTTGAAGAGCGGTCGCTTGGATCAGAGGCACTGCCGGGAGGGCGAACGTGACGTTTTCAGCAGGAAAGAGCCGCGGCCTGGGAACCCGCTCCACTCCACTGGGACGGCGGGCTGAGCGCCTGTGTTCAGGAACTAACTCTGTGTTCACAGTCCAAGATGTTTCCCTCAAGCCTGCTGTCTTTCGTAAGGGCCTAATTTCCAAAATAGTTTTCTAATATACAGGTTTTCCTTTTTAAAAGCCAGCTTTCTTGCAAAAAGGGCAGGAGGAGGAGAAGACACAGCCGCTGCCTGGCGCTCCCTCGACATGCCAGCCCATGCCAGCCCACGCCTACCGGGCACACCCGCCACGCGGAAGACGCCAGGTGCGGAACAAACGATCCGAGCTGTGTTGGCAGCGGCAGAGACCAGCACCTCTATTTTTACATTACTTTAATTAAGTCTTCCAAAAATAAGTGGACCTAGGAGACGCCCATCGATCTCGTTTTATCACTGGGCGGCTGACTGAGCTTCGGGGGCCGGCTGAAAGCCCTCCTGGGCTTGCTCCGCACCGGCGTCTGGCCCTGGTCAAGCCCCGCCACACCCAGAGCCTTGACGTGCCCGCCGGCCTCCCCCCACTCTCCTCGCGTGAGTGCGGGAAACGGGCACACTCAAGGAGGGGGCGCCTCTTTTGGTTTGAGTTCAATTAAATTCAAGCATTCGCCGCCAGTCAAATTAAATTTCTGTTTTTCTTCGGTGAGAACAATCATTGAGGTCAAGTCCTTGAGAAAAAGAAAGGCAACAACAGCTAACCGTCATTCTCTATCTGCGTTGGCAGGACCGAAGCGAAAACAAACAAGAACAAAGACACCAGAGCCACCGGCCACTGATCATCACGTAAGACAATCTCGGTGATCAGGACGCTTAGGTTAAACCATCTTGTTTTTTCCTGTCCTTCAGGAAAGACAGAAATTTCAAGCCCTGGAAGTGCTGGCTAAAGCAACCATGGGGGTCAACCCTGAAATATGAATGCTGATGTTTTCTGTGCCGTTGGTCTCATCAGAACAAGGCCCGCCTTAGGAGCGGGACACACACGTGTTACCTAAGACTTTGGTACTGAGGATGCTGGGTTCTGAACTCAGGGCGTGTTTCACGAACAGAAAGAATGTATTTTTCACAGAAAAGCCACCAGGGGAGCCAGCCGAGAGGCAGTGGTGAAGCCCCTCCGCCCCCGCTGGTCCCCCCAGGCCTCGCTTCAGGAGGAGGGGTCACCTGTGAGGGAGCTCTCCGCCGTCTGACTTCTCGCTGTGAAATAAAAAGGCAGTAATTTGATAAAATGCAAAACACAGAAATAATAAAGTGAGGTCTGAAGAACCTAAAAATGTAGGAAGCACTTTCCATGACTGAGCTCATTAAATGTGCCCAAGTAAATAAAAGGTTTCACCTTTAATAGATGACAGCATATCTACAGGAAAAGCGCATCGCTGTAACAGCCTCAGAAAAAGAACATTCCAGCAATTTAGAAATTAGACCCTGTGCAGCCATCGTGGGCAAGGAGCACGTGCACTCAGGCAGGACGCTGGCGCCCGGTCGGGGACTGCAGAGTGGGGCCGGCGCTCCCCGCACCTCGGCAACGGGACCCAGGGCCACCACCGGGCACAGCCACCGACTCCCGGAGGAAGACGCTGGTGCTGGTGGGAGGGCTGACTTGTACCTTTTTATTTAAACCTTGAAGATTTTGTCCATGCTTATAATGCAGAAGAGAATCGGAAAAGAAACCTTGGGATAAAAAACAGAGTTTTAGTTTCCCTTTCCTAAAAGTAAGACCGGACAGAGACGCGGAGGCCCTGGATGGCACGGGCAGGTGCCAGGCGCCGAGCGTGGGCGGCGCAGAGGGCGGCCGCTCCGCGGGCCTCAGTCCAGCTTCCCGTTCTGCAGCCTGCGGCTGGCCTTCTCGCGCTTGAAGAGCGAGAGGACCTTGAGGCAGCCCCTGGAGATTCTGACCATCCACATGATGTTCATCACGTCCAGCACGACGCAGGTGACGAGCCAGGAGCACTGCGTGGTCAGCCCGAGGCGCACGTAGGCCTCGGTGCCGAACACCGAGCACATGAAGGCGTAGAACGGCGGGATGACGGCCACCCGCGCGAGGAAGAACACGACCATCATGAGCACGCCGTTGACCACGTTGGCCACGGAGAACTTGGGGTACTTCAGGGTTTCCAGGAACCACCTGGGAAAAAGTGAAGAAACATCACGTTTGCTCTGCATCTCGGAGGAGCCACCGTTTTTAGTTTTTAGTCTTTAAAATTCAGCGAGCGTCCCTCCCCCTCAGATGCCTACCAAGAGGCAAAGGACCTGCGTCGGAGCGCTCGCGCGCATGTGGGCGCACAGGCGAGACCCCCCCCGGCCGCCCCCCCGGGCCAGACCACGGTCCCCAACACCTTCCGGTCCCTAACCCCCGCCCCGTCCTCCAGCCACAGGAATGGGGGACCAGCGGCTGACTCCACAGGTCTAGGGTATTTTTTAGTACCAAAAAGAAAGAAAGTGCTCAAAAGAGAAAAGGATGAGGTCGCATCACAGGGACACAAAGACCAAAGGAAATGGCTCCCAAAGGCAACAACGGTCACGCTGTCAGCGACCAGGCAAGTCGCGCAGCAGGAGGTGCAGCCACGAAGGCCTTGCACCCGGAGCCCGACCCCCGGTCTCTGGAGGCCGCTCCCCTGCTGGCTCACCCTGCACTCTGGGCGCCGCCCGCCGGAGGCCCCTCGCTGCCCCACCCACAGGCGGCTCTCTGACGCTCCCTCCCCCTCCCGCAGGCTCTCGTCCTCCCTCACGCGGGCCCCCTCTGCTCACAGACGCGCCGGCTGCCCGTCACAGCCCCGCGCAGGGGGGCCGTACTCCGTCCCCCGGGACCTGTGCTGCCAGGGGCCACGTCCTCCCTGGCCCCTGGCCACCCCGTCCGACCTCAGAGCTCTGGCTCACGTCCTCCCCTAAGTGCCACCTGTCATTCCCCATCTCGCCACCTGACTCACTGCCGCTTCTCAGCGATGAACCGGGCGCTGCTCCATGTCTCGACGCCCCTCTGCACGGCCGCCGGTCTCCCCTCCCCGCCCCCCAGCCTCCTGGGGTCCCGTGGGCTCCGCCATCCTGGATGACTCCTGGGGTTGACCGAGTCCCAGCACCGCCCCTCCCAGGACGCTCTGTGACCCCTCCCTGGGATCCGCCCAGGACCCCCTTGTCCGGCCCCTCCCCCCGGCCGCGGGCCCCACGCTCTGTGCAGCCCGTTCTCCGAGCACTTCCCACGCTCCCTGAGTCCCCGGTCCTGCGGGAGGTGATTATCTACACACGCGGACTGAAGGCCGAGCCTCCTGGATGTCCTTGGCTGCCACCCTGCCGTCTTCTGCCAGCGTTCCCCCACGGCGCGTGCCTGGCCCTCCTGCCCGTCCCTCTTAAAGGGAAGGACTCACAGCGAGCGTCCAGGTGCGTCATGTTTATGGACCCAGCCCCATCTCCCTCCTGTGCCAGACGGCCTCTTGTTTTGCTGGGACCCTCGTGCTGCCACGGCAGGGCTCGCGGTGCGAGGGTCTGCATGGCCTGATGTCCCGCTGCCGCACAGCCAGGCACGGTGGGAGGGACCGCAGAGTCCTATGTCTCCTCCCTCGGCCCCCAGGGGAAAGTGTGTCTCGGGTGCCTCTGCGCGCCCCCTCCCCCTGCCCCTCTAAAGGGACTTGGATCCTTCAGCCAAGCTCCCCGGGGGTTCGCTGTGGGGTGGTCCTTGGGACCCTATTACACAAAAACACCCTGAGGGTCGTTTGTGTTGCCCGGTCTAATTCGTTGGTATTATCTGCTCCGATTCACATGTGGTAAGAAGTGAGGGCTTACTTACAGGGAGAGAGAGAGGGGAAAAAAGCCAGGGACGAGGCAGAAACGCCCCCACGGGGCAGGGCGGGGGGTGGGGCAGAGCGCGCCCTGCCAGGCTGCAGGGGCCGGGGTGGGGGGGGCGCTGTGAGCGCCAGAGGAATGAAGGGAATTTTAACAAGTGTCGCTGGGAGGACAAACTGGACCTTTGTTGACAACCTTGGAAAACCTCCAGGCAGGGCTGGGACGCTGCGCTGTCCCCGGACGCGCCGCGGCGCCGGGGCTGTGGCTGGCCCTCGCTGCGTCCTGGGGAAAGTGCGGTTCTTTCAGGCTCCGAAACACCTGTCTGATGAGCGCGGCTCCGGAGACGTCGCGCGCAGGACCCTAGCTCTGGAGAAGCTGCCCCCCATCGCTAAACAGGGAGGACGGGGAGACCGGGCCCTGCAGGAACCTGCCCCTGCCGCCCAGTGCAGCCGCGGGTCGCCGTCAGGGAAGCCGGGGAGGGTGCCCACCTCCCCCACCCCCCGGAGGCGCTGGCTGTGGAACGAGGGGCGCGACCCAGGGCAGGTCCCGAAAAATGACTGAGGACCCGGGAGGCCTGCCAGCAGGCGGCCGGGTGGCGTGTGCAGAGGCGTTTGAGGGGCCGCGCAGCTTGGAGAGCCCGCTGCGTCCCGGCAGAAGGGAGCCCACGGGCACCCCGTGGGACGGCAGCCACGGGGGCTCCACGCGGGCGGCGCACGCGCTCGCGTCTGTGTTCAGGGCGACCGGGGACAGGGCCAGAGGCAGGTGGACAGGGACGCAGGGGCTGCGGATGCTCCGTCCCGCTGTCACGGTCCGCCCCGCGGGGTGCAGGCTCCGTGGTAAGCAGACGAGGCTTCCGTGTAGAGACAGGCGGGGGCCGGCCCGTGAGCCTTGGTTTGGGGGACGCCCACGCCACCACCCTCCCTGCAAGCCCGTCCACAAGATGCAGAACTTTCTGCAGCGATGGAAATGGGCCGCGCGGGGCCAGGAAGCACAGGGATGTCACAAGGCAGACGGAGGGGCTGAATCTGTAAGTCACTCCGTTAAATGCGAGTGGTCACGTGCGGCTTCGGGCTGCTTCCCTGGGCGGTGCAGGGTTCGAGGCCGGCACTGCGGCCCGGGCAGGGACGCCAAGATGGGGCGTTGACAGCAGAGGCGGAGAGGAGCTGGGAGAGATGAGGGGGATCGAGGAGGGGCGACCGCAGCCGCTGCCCAAGGGCCCCACACCAGGGAGGGGCCCCCGTGGGGTGTGAACGGCCGAGCGCGCTGGACCCTGGAGCCGGAGCGACGCAGAGAGCGCACAGGGTGGGGGCGTGCCCTGTGTCCCCCAGCCGAGCCCTCGGGCGCCGGGGAGAAAGAAGCGGGAGCACCGAGGAGCGGTAACGAGCCTCAACATGCTCCTTTAAGGCGGAGGCAGCCGTACTCTGTGGGCGCAGCACGGCCCGTCCAAGGTCAGAGCGAAGAAGTGACCCGGCTGAAGCGCCCCGTGAGTGGACCTGATTCTAAAATGCCTGCGGCGCCACGGCGAGCGGCCAGGTAGAGCTGGAGCTCTGAGAGGCGGGCCTGCCGGGAGCGGCCCGGGGACGCCGGCTTTCAGGGGCCGCCTCCTGCAAGGCGACAGGCTGGGCCCAGGGGAGCACGGTGTGGGGACACACGGGGAGCCAGCGCGAGGAGGAGGAGGTGACCGGCTGCGGCGGCCGGCACAGAGACAAGGAGGCAGGCCCTGGACGCCGTTGAACTTGGCTGCTGGAAGCCGTGGTGCCTCCCAGGAAACCAGCCCTGCAAGCGCAGGACGGGGAACCTAACCCGAAAGGGCCGAAAGGATCGGCCGAGGGGAGAGCAAGCGGGAGCCGCACACGGCAGGGCTGGCATCGCTGCCCCCACCCACCCCCGCTCCGTGACGGCGACCCCGTCACTCACGCGCGGGCTCCCACAGGCGCTTAGGGGCTTGGGGAAGCACCCCGCGAGAGCGCGGAAGGACACCTACCGCTGGTTCACGAAGGGGCTGGAGAGCTCGGCCAGCAGGCGGAAGTTCCCCACGAAGGTCAGCACGCGGTATCTCTGGGCAGGGGCGGGAAAGGCGGCGTCAGGGCCGGCGTTCCCGCCGAGCGCCCGACACTGGGGACGCACTCGTAGTTCTCCAGCTCAAAACAACACCCGCATCAAAAGTGGCCAAGTCTGCGAGGCTGTTTCCCCCTTGATGAGAGCTTAGAAATGTCATTAGAACGCTACAGTGTTTTTAAAAGACTAGAGCGTATTGTTCCCTGATGTATATACATTGTTCCCTTATAAAGACAGATTCCCAGCAGCTGTCTCACGCTGAATGAAGAAATTCTTTGAACAGCCATTAGTAATGGCGCATAAATTACAAAAATAGACAAGTATCACCCAAGTTATCTCTGGAGAGTCAGACCTAGAAAATGTTATACTTACCAGGCCCTACATTTCTACAAACTCAGAATTCTGTTTTACAAACATCCATATTCAGACCAAAAAAATTAACAGAAATCAACGCAGCTGCCTGTCTGTCCCAGTGTTGCTGTGACGCTGCTGGCGCACCACGGGGCGCCGCACCGCGGAGTTCTGGAACAGTCTCCTGGACGTCGTATCACGCCCTCACCCCTCACCCTTCACCCCCCAGCCCCCGGTTCACACCGCCGTGCGCCCCGTGCGCCTGTGGGAGTCAGCGCCAGGCGTGGCACACAATGCCGCCCGGGACCTCCAGGCTCTGTGCGATGAACCTCCTTACCGGACACCCTCTCCCCCTTGGGAAAACCTCTGAAACACCGGTGAGAGAGAGGCTACCAAAGGGATAGGCTTAAGCGGCTCTAGTATTTCTGAGTAAATGAGTTACGAGCCCTGACACTTCGCTGCTAGTGAATCGTGGCACAGGCCACGGCTCCCTCTGGTCGCTTCGGGGTTCCCGTGGCTGCCATCGGCCTCAGGGGAGCTCTGCCCGGAGGGACGTGCCCACTCGCCCCGGCTCGGCACAGTTCTAACCAGGAACATGTGCTAGAAGACAGATTTCAATAGCTACGTGGTCCTAAAGGTTTTTAGGGTCTCCTGCCTTTCTCAACGTTTAGGCATCCAGATAAACACTCCAGCAGGGACTCCCACGCGAGGCTAGTGTTGTTGTTCATGGACAAGGTAACGTCTGGACGTGGTCCTAATGCACTGAGACTTGTTTGTTCGCACGCACGCCCACCCCGAGCCCCCCGCCCCACCCCTCTGCCGGGAGGGGGCCGCTGCGAACCCCAGCACGCACCATGATGATGAAGAAGGCGTACAGTGACGTGCAGTGGTGAATGACGAAGTATTTGTCACCGATCACTCTCCAATACAAAAAGAGAGCCAGCAGATCTGTGGGAAGGAAAAGTCGGCAGGATTATCACGCAGAAGAAAGCCACACCCCCTGTCCGAGTGCATTTAGCTCTCCTGGCTGCTCGCCCCAGGCCACGCCGGGCCACAGGGCCGCGCTCCCGGCTCAGAGCCAGTGACCCACTTTGACGTCAGGCACCGCTGCCGGGTAACTGTGTCCCCCACTCCGGGGACGGCCGTGACAGGAGACCTGTGCGGGCCTCGAGCAATGGGCAGCGCCCTGTTGAGAGCACCAAGGAGTAGTGTGTTTCTTGGTCTAAATAAAGTGAAAATACTATTACTACGTAAAAAATCATTTTAAAGTAAGCTTAAATTACTCATTTCCAGCACTGCAAAATAATTCAAGTAGATGAGTTGGTTACAGGAAAGGTAAAAAAAATGACCGACTCCTTTATAGCACAAGTTCCACAAAACGTATTTAAAAATTAACAAAGGAGGTGATCAAATATTAATTAGAAACAGCAAAAGGCCGCCGTGACTGACGGCTGTTAAGAAGATAAACAACGAAAAAGGCATCACTTTTTCTTTAAAAAGGCCCTGAATCTAAACACCATGGTTCAGGACGTGGTTTCCTGGAAGGAAACAGGAGTTTCTGAAGGTGCCGCCCCAGCCTCTCTGTCGCCCACGGGCAGACGCGCACCGGAGCCGCGCGGCCAAGCGGCAGCCGGGCACCCAGGCCCTGTGGGCTCGGGGCTTAGAAACCACAGGGGCCTGCTTTTCTTAAAAATAAAACATTACTGATGCCAAACCACTGCGATTATTTATAAATAAAGACAAAAAAAAAACATCGGATGACAAATTTTAAAAGAGAAAGTAAATACCACAAACGTGGAAATCAGGAAAATGAGACACCGTGGGGACTCAGGGCCGCTGTCCCGTCTGGACACACCTGCCCCCCACACTTCGGTCCCCAGTTTACGTGACAATGACGCTGAAGTACTCTCTGTGGAGAGAACACAGAGAACGCACTTTCCGTGCAGCGTGGCCTGGAAAAGGCGTTTTCCGCTCCCCGCCCCGCTGGTGCGTGTGTGGGAGTCGCCTCGTCGGGGAAGCCTTCCTCGGGCCTCCCCCACCTGAGCCTTCCCGGGGGCTCGGGATTCTCTGAACGGACAAGACCCGCAGGCCCGGGGCTGAGGTGGGGACTTTGTGTTATCCTTGTCAACAGCAGCGTTTTGTGCCAAAAGAGCATCATTTTTTTCACTGTGTTCACATGACACACTCTTCTCCTAACTGGGCCACCCAATCGTGCAAGAGTCCCCTCCCTACTTCTAGGCAAAGTCCGCCTCTTCCTAAGTGGATGCCCACACTCTGGGTCGCCGAACTTCCAGCCCCTCCGGACGGCAGGGCACCTTCCGAGCCCGTCGCCCGGCAGAACCCTCACGCCTGCCTCCTCCTGAGGTGCTGGTGCTTGGACTCTCTTCCCGCTGTTCAGGGAACAGGGTCCCCAGGTGCCACGGCTCTGCCCTCTCCCTCACTTATGGAGACGGCCCGGCCTGTCCCTTCACGCAGCTGCTTCAGTGGCAGAGGCTCGACTGCACTGCCGCCCGTGGATCAAAGGCCCCTCCAAGGCCACCCGGCACAAGGCGGGCCCCACACAGGAAGATGTGGAGTGAAGATTCCAGGATCTTAACTGACTACAGCTCAAACAGCCTACTTTTGCAAACTTCCCCAAAACAATACACCGTGGCCGTGGGAACTCGCTTCAGGGGACTTTGCAAGTGAGAGACGCTGCGGCCAAAACCGTGTGAGCAGCACAGGCTCTTTGGGCCGGAAGGGACCGTCGCTCGTGAGACGTGTCCACGGGACGTGCAGGCGGGAGCGCGCGCCTGTGCTGCCGTGACGCCCGGCTCTGCGGGCCTCGGCGCGGGCCCCGGCGGCGGCTTCTCAAGCAGGTCGCCCCGAGGCCCGGACCGGCAACCCTTGCCCGGTTCCATGAGTAATTTTAAAAGGAACAGTGAGAAACACAGCACATACCGGAAACGAGGTAGCCCGAGGTAACGGCGATATTCATCTGCGCGAGCGATGAGTGGCCCCTGCAAACAGTTTTGGAAAAAAGTTCCTTTTTTAGCACATAGGTTATAGACGGTGGCTACTTTTTTCCTATTGAGGTTTAAGTATAATCAAAATGCTTCCCACAGGTTCTCAAACAGTAAATTGTCATTTGCACAAAGCAATCTGTTAGCTACGGTAATACCTCTAACTGCGTGAACAATCGTCATTTCTTATATTTGATTAGCTAAAAGTTTTAGGAAAACAGTTTTACCAAAAAGCGACTTCTTATAAATGTGTTCTCATGTGATTTTACAAAGGCCTGGCATGGAATTCGAATGCTGATTTTTTTTTTAATTCCTTATTCTGAGAGACTCAAATAGCCTGACGACATCGTCTCGCCTGCCCCTGCTTTGAGGCAGTTTACTCTCCTCATCGTCACCGTCCTGGGGACCGAGGGACTCGCCTGTCGCGGCACGCCAGGCCGGCCGGAACAGGCCGTGCAACCCTGCTGGGCCAGCCCCCCACGGAGCAAGGCCTCCACGTGTGCGGGTGGTGCTCCTCGCTCTGGGGACAGACAGGGACGCCCGCCCCCTAGGGTCTGGTTTACAGGGCGAGCCTCTGGCGACGGGAACCGAAGGGACGCCGACCGCAGCGGCAGCGCACGGGGACGGCCCAGCGGCGGCCACGCCTTCCCCACACGCCGGCCCTGCCGGTCTGAGCCGGTGAAACTGGGCCCGGCGTCAACGAGGGCGTTGAAGAAAGTATGAAAATGTGGAGAAGGACCCCGGGCGAAAGCCTGGTTAGGGCAAAAATCGACCAATGACTCAAGTCTTTATTATAAAATTCACTTCCCAAAAGAACAGGTTCTGTTGACTGTCATATTTGTAAAATAAAAATATGAAAAAAAAAAAAAAAGCTAGAAATTGTTTAGGCCGCTTACATAAAACCCGGTCCAAGAAGTCAATGGACTGAATGGATTCACTCTGGAAAAAATCTTCCCAATAAAAAGGTATCAATAGTGGCATAATTCTGATGGGCATAATTTCGTATTTATGAAGAAAAAACAGTCAACCAGGGACAGTCCCAACGCCAGGGTCGGCTGCGATGTCCCTCTGCAGCGCTTGTTCAGAACATACCTATCTCCCAAACGCAGCCGAACTGTCTTCTCATAAAATGCCAGGAAATGCCATCTGTGAAATTTCTGCTATTGGAATGACATTTAAGTTTTCTCCGAAAGAACCACCCTGCAGATTCCCTCGTCATTGCTGAGCACAGTTATTACTGAGGCTTCGAATCTGCTTCTGCAGGACTACACCCCTCCCACGCGCACACCTGGGAGTCTCATTTTCACGCCTCTGAGGTCGAATGCAGGGTCGAACAGCCGTTTGAGGGCCAGGTCTGAAACCGACTGCTCGCCACGGTAACTCCCCGTTGCTCAGAACAGCGGTTACGATAGCTCGGGTTTACTCGCGAGCGCAGTATAAACGCCCCCTCCCGCACATCCTCCTGTGTCTGGAGAATGATGGCGACTGTAAGGCACAGAGGTGCCCGCTGTCTGTATTCAAAGCTACAGTCCATCGCTTAGTGCGCCTTGCTGACAGAAGCCCGAACACAAGCATTTTAATAAACCATACCCCGTCAATGTGCTTTCTGTTTGAAAGCAACATAAGAGATGTCCCGATGAATAATTAATATCAAAGCATAAATTGCATTGACTGCATTGGAAAGAAACAGCTTACCAAAGCGGGTCCGCGATGACCACCTCATCGAAAAAGACAATGTACAGACCTAAGATCCCAACCAGCAGGGAATGGCACGTAGACACCACCCTGCAATGAAACGGAATGCAGAGGGAGGTTTCAGATTCTTCGCAGTGAACTTTAATTCTGACACTTTAATTTTAAGCTCTGTGAACTTTAATTCTGACACTTTAATTTTAAGCTCTGTGATATGCTAATAAGCAATAAAGATTTTTTTCTTCTTCAATAGAATAAAGGATGAAAGGAACAGTGAAATTTTCTTTAGAAATTAACAGTGTGCAATGGATTTCTCTCGATGTGACCCCCAAATCTTTAAAAGTGAACTCTATCAGCCAATATAAGTCTTGATATTAGAAAACACGACTGTAACTTGAAAAATCAACATCCTTAGTCTAACTGATAACGTGGTCCTACATTGATATGTCAAGTTCAACTCAACCGAATCTTCGACGCTCAAAGATTCACACCAATTTAAAGACAGTGGCCAAGAGCCCTGTGTCATGCGAAAGGGCCCTTCGGAAGGGTGACTCACCCACCAGCCGCTGCGCTTTACAAGGCGTTCTCACGCCAAGGCCCCCGCATCCCTCCTGAGCACAGCAGCTAACAGAGGAAAGACGCTCGACAGCACGTGAAACTCTCCACCTCAGTAAGCGCGCCCTCAGCTTTCTGGGGCCGTTCGAAAATTCCATGAGGAGAAAAACGTAACCTCTCTGGAGCCTGTCTTAGTGTTTAGTACACTTGTATCAAAAAAATTCTTTCAGAAAAACTCCATCGGTTGCTGACACTCAGGCCTCGGCTCCCGCTCCGCCGAGGGCTCCGTGGGGAGTGGGAGGCCCTGGGGACCCCACTGGCTGGCAGAGGGCCCGGCCAGGCGCGTGGGAGCAGCTCCGCGTCACCGGGAGGGACAGCCGCCCCCTTCCCCCCACCCCATGAAGGGCAGGGCAAGCAGAGGCCCTGGGCCCAAGCGAGCTCCTCGGCATCAAAAGCCCGTTTGCTCAGGAACTTCTGGCGGTAAAAACGTCACATCTCATCCTTTGAAATCAGGTCCCTGGCAAAGCAGGAGTATAGAGTCCTTAGTGTCTAAAAAGAAACACTGAAATGCTACCCAGAATAAAATATTTCCATTTTTTTCCAAAGAGGATTGAAAAGAAATCCCTATGCTTATAAAAAGGCAGCGCTTCATTTTTAAGGAAATAACGCCCGTTCCAGAATAGCAGTCCAGAGCCGCTGGCTCAGCCGTGCATGAGCACCACGCGTATCACCGTAGAGGCCGCAGAGCTCCGGCAGGAGAGTCTGCCTTCGGAGAAGGTGACTTCAGATTAGGAGTATGAACTGCGACAGGACTTTCCATCCCCCAGGAAAGGAAGTGGAGAGATTGTGATAGAAATAATAGCTATAGGTATGTAGGCTTTCAGAAAAAGCAACAACGAAGCACTGCCGTTTGTCACTTACAATGAATTAAACTGTTCTCTCCCAGGTGGGAGCTGCCGGGTGCGTTCTCCGCTCCTGCCCTCCCTGCGGGTGGCCTAGACCGCGCCTCATTCAGACACTCTTTCCCAATCACCAGGGACAAGTGTGCGGTGGCTTTGGTCTGCTTCAGACGCGCGTGTTTACTGAAAAGCCGCCAATTTTTTTCCTTCTTTGCGCTCCCCACCTCGCAGCGTAAGTCCCGTGCAAACCCAGCTCCAGAGGGGAAGAGGACTCAATGGATTAGAGAGAGAGGGAGGAAGCCCGTTGCAGAGCATAAAGCCCCGTCTACCGCCCAGACCCCTTTTCGAGCGGGGAACTCGGTCTCCCGAGTGGTGGCCCCGCGCACAGAAGGACCAACGGGGACAAGTGCGTCTCAGTTTCCTCACTTTGGCTCACCGGCCCGCCCACCTCTCTCCCTCTGTACTTCCCCGTGGCGAGCAGCTCTCCAAGGTGCAAAGGGCCTCGCCACTGCTAACCCTGGTGAACAGGCAATGAAAACAGTTCCAGATCCAGCCGCAGAGAGAGCGCAGCCCCCGCCCTTCCTTCTCCTTCCCATTCTTCTACCTTCGTGGTGGGAAGGGTTTGAAAAAGCAATGGCAAGTATCTTCTGTATCCCGCAGTTGGACGATACCTTTGATCTATTCTTAAGACAAATCATAGCTCTTACTTTTTCAGACAAACCATACATGCTACAGCTCTTTCCATCCAAGGGGTGAGAATTCTTTCTCCATGTAATTTTTGGCAATAATTACGGCAATTTTGGAGACCCGCTGAATTCATTCGTTAGCATTAACTTCAACTAACAACAGCAAGTGTTCCCGTAGCGCACACAAAAAATTTCCAACTGACTGCAACTGACACAACTTTCCATAGCCTCCTAAGCAATACTCCCTCGCCACTTATTTTTGTTTTAAAAAATATAAAAAGCAACTTTTACTTTAGAACCATGTAACAGCAGAACAGATTCTGGAGGGCTCCAGGCTGGACTGCAAAGTTCATCGAGAGAGACGCCCTGCCCGGGCTCGGCCGGCCGTGCTATATATAGGCCGCTGCTGGCCCTGCTCCTGCTTATTTCTGTCGTCCCGTCCGCAGGACACGTGCTGGTCATTATAAATACCCGGCCATCCCCTCCCGCCCCGGGGACGCGTGCTGGTCACCGCGAGCGTTCCCGGCCGCGGTGGCCGGCTTCCCTGGCTGCACCCCGCCGCCCCAGAGCTCAGGCGCAGTGTCCTACCATCTCTCCGTACTGGAAATGTAAACATTCTTCTCGTGTGACACGTATCTACTTTTCTTTTATTCCTAAGGCCATTTTTTTAAACGCGCTTATTAGATTTTCTTAGATCCTGCATGAAACGCTTTTTGGAAATATTCTAAATAATTTTTTTTTTCCATAAAACTAGCTTCTTAAAAAATCCACTCCCGTGTTCGTAAGCTTTACCTTGAGTTCCACTCAATCTTCTTTTCGAAGCTGAGGTTGTTGAAACCTGGAGACACTTTTGCTGAAAACCAGGAGCTCAGGACGTGGAACAGCAGCTGGAAGGTGCAGAAGCTGGCGAGCGCGGTGCCGGCCGGCAGCGTGTAGTAGGCGAAGGCGTCCATGCTCCTGCTGGGGGAGTGAGGGCGGGGGAGGCGTCCAGTCGCTCTTGAGAACCCTACATTAATTTTCTTAATTTTAAAAGAGTATGTGATTGTGTTTGTAGTACTTCATAATTTAGCACACACGTAAGCATGCTAAGAAACCGTAGGAATTTAAAGCCTTTGTCAACAATTGGGCATAGATCTTTAATTTGCATTTAAAGTAAAAAAGAGGGGAACCTGTTATCCTGAAGATCTCAATATTATAAATTTCAAGAGATACATTTAATATCATGATACTCAAAATTATTTAAGTCTTAGAATGTAATATTAAGAGGGAATTTCAAGTGCTATTACTGAAATGTTGTTTTAGTAAAATTTTTAACTAAACTTAGGACAAATTGCCTGATTTCTCTATGCCTCAATGTCCTCATTTGTAAAATGAGAATTGGTTAGATAATTTCTAGGAAACAATTAAGCCAAAAGTTGTAATAGAACTAACATTGTCTGCAGTAGCAAAACAAAAAAAAAAAATAACTGAGTAATAAAAACTAATTTTACAGTACAGAACAAACAACATTGAAAACACAATTTAAATCTTAAGAAGAAGAATACCGTCTGGGAAAATAACCATACCACTGGTGCTGCTTAAATTGCTACTGAACTTTTAAAACCTCGGCGATCCCGCATATCCTTGGATCAAAAAAGTCTTCCCAGCTTTTCATCTCTAATAAAAGATCTTTATAAAAGAGCTTCGGGTTTTCAGGACAGAGTTAGTTGAACGGAATGGCATGCACATGTGCACATTCAAAGGAAGTTTTCTGTCTCCTGGGGCTGAACGCTAGTTGGCTCCTCAAAATCTTAGCGATGCTGAGACTGAAACAGTCCAGGAAAGCGTTGGCTGCGGCCAACACAGCCGCTCTCCTGCCGCTCCTGGGACAGAGCCGAGCTCAGAGGGACAAGAAATGGGTCAGCAGAAGCCGCCTCCCCCTCCTCTCACGCCCGCGCTCAGCCCCTCACGGGCACTTCCCACGGACGCGCGTCCAGCGACGAACTCTGCCCTCCTTTTTCCTGGGCCGTGCGCTCGGCTAAAATGCCGGTATTACCATCCTCCTCTCTGAGATCCACTACCCTTATTGCTCGTCTACCTTTTTAAAAATATATTTATTGCGTATTAAGGGTTTCGATGTGTGGTCTTTCAGATTAACATCAACCAAATAATACATAAAAGGACGTCGTGTCCATAAATTACACGTGGTTATGATTTTCTAAGTGAGACACAGGAGGAGGATGTGGAGACCGTGGCATCCGGCAGACGAAGCAGGTAAAGTCAGGCACCAGAAGAGCGCGCAGCGGCCCGGAAACAGGGCCCGACGGGCAGCGGGGGGACCTCAGGCGCGAGGCAGGGCCACCCCGAGAGCCTGCACGCTCCCTGCTGGCCCTGGGGGGGCGGCCGGGCGCCGGCCGCTCCTTTACTCCTGCGGGACCTCAACATGTAGGGTGAGCCCCTCTTTCCCAGATGGTCGCTAAAAGTTACGCTATAAAGCACAGCAAGAATTAGGCAACCTTATCCGTTTTACAAACTGTTTTTAAGAGGTACGCCCTTTGGAAATTCAGCCTTCCTTAAAGAGCTAGTTTTCACGAAGTCTCTGTTCTCCCGGGCACCCCGTGTTTTCCGCAGACCCCGCTCCCTGTTCCCTGGGGTCTATGGGGGACTCGCTGAATCCCTTTGCAAAATTGGTTTCACTGAAACCCGAAGGGCCCCACGTAATCGAGCTGTGGCTTCCACTCAGAGGCTCAGCCAACACGAGCCGATTAAATCGCCCTCCCAGCTTTGCTTCTCAGCGAGTGGCCACTGTCTTCCTCGGTCGAGGACGAAGCCAGGAGTTTCACAAACTGCCCCGGGAACCCAGGCTTCCGGTAGGAAGGAAAGGCCTCTGTCCGCTCACTGAATCAGGCAAGAAAACGGTGAAAACTGGTAAAACCAAATGATGCTCAGGACTCGGAGAGGCTCAGGCCCACGGCAAAGGCAGGGCCGCGCTCACACACGTCCGCCCGCAGCGCCGGCACCAGCACGAGGCCAGGGCGCAGACGGCAGTCGGACACGCCCCCGGCGCCAGCCGGCCCTCCCGTTCCCAGAGCCGCGGCCACCGAGGGACTCTCCCCGCGCCCCGCCTGCTCCGAACACAGCGGTGTTTGTGCGTCCCCGCCCCCGCCCCGCCCACCAGGCGGTTTCACCGGCTGGACCGCAGGCTGCTCTCCGAGCCGAGTGCGGAGAGGCCAGACGCACTCGTGTCCGCCGTCGGACGGTCGGCGGCGCCGCCCTCCTCCCCGTCCTCACTAGCTGGCATCCCAGCCTCCCCGCCACGTCCTCCCATCCAGCGGTCCCGCCGTGCTTCGCGGATGTCCGCCGGCCCTGCCGCCATCCCGAGTGACCTTCTGCCCACGCGGAAGGCCAGGCGTCCCTGACGAGCTGTGCCTCCGCCTGGAACCGCACCTCATCTCAACCACCGAGGGACCTTGTGGGAAGGACCTCGGCCCAGCCGCCTGACGGAACCCCCTGGGGAAGTCAGAGCCTAAGGGGACCCGGGGGGACAGAGAGGGCCTTCTCACCCTCACACTGCCGACGGAGGAGCCCCCTGGCCGCGGCGGCGTGGCCGAAGGAGGGCTGTGCGCCTGCCTGCTCCCCACACGAGAGGCGGTGGGTTTGAGGGACTAAGAAAACCGAGTGAATCTCTCCTCGGGTCCTGCTCTCAGACAAGGTCTGTGCAGTGGGAGCGAGACCAGGAATCACGGCCTTGTCCCCGTCCCCATCACACGGCCCTGGGCAAGGGGCGCGGGACCTCTCGGAGCCACGAGGGGCGTCAGAAGTTCGCTGCACATGTGCGTCAGCGCCCCGAGCGCCCTGGCCACCGCGATCAATCCTGGAATGGCCGCAAGCTGCTTCACAGCAGGACACGGCCGCTGCTGCCGTCCCCGGGTGGGGCCCTGCCTCCGTCCCCAGGGACCTGGGCTGGCCTTGCCCCCTGCTGACAGACCATGTGCTGGAGGATGGGCTGGGAGGCTTCTGGAGCCCAGTTAGGCCTTCGAGACCTTTGGCACCTGCCTGTCACTCTCCTGGGTGTCACCCGGGAGACTGCCACCTGCCTAGTCCTGCAGGACAGGAGGCCACACGGAGCGCTGAGGCTGCCCAGCTGACAGGTGACACTCAACACCAACGACCAGCCCTGCTGGCAAGCCATGGGGGCCTTCCTGCCCAGCTGACCCTCCAGCGGGAGGCAGCCCCGTGGGCGGGCCTCCAACCCGCTGAGTAGCTGCCCGGCCACCCGCGGAGCCATGAGAAATAACAGGCCATTGTTTTAAGCCACTCGATTTGGGGGTGGTTTGTTATGGAGCAACCGATGAAAACACCAGTCCACAGAGGAGCGCGCTTATTGTGGCATCCCGTCCTGACCAGGACAGGCTGCCCCGCTCCCGACGGCGCCGGCTCGGAGGGACCGGACAGCCCGACCCGAAGCGTGTGCCCGCCGCTCGCCGCACCTCGCCCCCGCCCGTGACCCGGCAGCGGGGCCGGCGGCCCCTCGACTGACCTCCCGCCCCGCCCTGCCTCCCGCGGCACTGCCTCCCGCGAGCGCGGTGCCCCTGAACGCGACTCAGCGTCGGGTTTGACGCCGTGCCGTAGCCAAAGAATCTAACCGCATGGACGTGTTTCTTCGAAGCACTATTAACAGGCTGGCAGGGCGAGGTGGCTCCAGGTGACCTCCGGTTTAATATTCACTGCCAACCTCCTGTTTCAGTTCAGGCAAAGTCCTGCGAGAGAACCTACGCGTGGCCCTTGGACTTGGGTGTCCGAGGCGGTGTCCCCGAGGCCAGAGGTTGACGAACGAGGGCGTGAGGGCTCAGTCCCTCTTCCCGGGTCTCTGGGATTGCGCCAAGCTACCCAGCTTGCAGATCCCGACGTGCCGCTAATGCTCTCACGGTCCACAACCGCTAACGAACTTCAGCTTGGAGGTGCTCTCGAGACTCCTTGGAAGGGTGGCCGGGGCCCTTTCAGACCCGCGGAGCTCCCCCGTGCAGGCAGGTCCCGTATTTTCCATATGGACCAAGTGCAGAGTTGGGGTTCTTTCGGGAAAACATTTCGCTCAGCTCTTGCTGCAGTTCTAAGGCACGAAGGCCACCTTGGACACCCTCACTCCCTGGCGGGGCAGCCGCAAGCCTCACCTCCCCAGGCAGTGGGTTCCGCTCGTGGCAATCCCGCCGGAGCGACATATTCTGTGCTGCCCGGCAGAGGAAGTGCCCAGGAACAGCGTGAGGTCACTGTTGTCATCGGTCTCGTAGCCCTTCAGGTCCTTGTGAGGCCATCTCCGCACTGAACCCATGAGCGTACGTCTCAGCCGGGTGACCCTTCAGAGAGCAGGTGGGGGCACGACACCTGCCGAGCTCCGAGGGGCGCGATGCGAAGCGGCCTCAGGTGCAAGGGCGGCCGGGCCGCGATGTGGGGCACATGGACGATGCCGGCCGCTGCAAACGCAGCGTCTCCCGGATGAAAACCCAGGGGAGGCGGTTCTCTCGCCGCCCGGAACCCGGACTAGACGGGCTCCCCGCGTTGGCTTCTCTTCTGCTCCTCTTACCGCCGGCGACGGTCACCGCCAGCACCTCCGGGAAGAAGCAGGGCGCGCTAGCGGCCGACGCGCGGCCCTGCCCCCTGGATTTCGCTCGGACACACTTCTCTCTGTACCCTGCCTTGACGTCGCCTTGTCATAGTGCGGCATCCCAGCCTGGCCGCGCAGCAAGGCAGGGGACAGACAAAATCGAAGACGGCGCACTCCGCATGTGTGCCTCGTCCCTACGCCAGCAGGGTCCCTCCCTCACGAGGGAGCCTGCGCGTGGCCCCACTCTGACATCCCTGTGGTCTCTCGTTGTGCTTGTACTGCTGAACGAATCTTTGGGGAATTAAATGGGAGAAGAGGCACATGTGCACAGCGCTACGTATAATTCAGCACTGCCTGAATTATAAAGTGAGCAGCATGCTCTTCCTCCCTTTACCCTCAGAGCGAACGCACGTGCGTGGGGAAGG